GGCCCAACAGGCTGTTTTATATCCTGTCACAGGTACCCGTAATACACACATCGGCCCAACAGGCTGTTCCGTATCCTGTCAATCATGCTTGACGCATCCAACTGATACGTGTAATCTCATTTATCCTTAATACTCAAATACACACAGTCCAACACGCACATCGGCTGTGATGCTTTGAATATTTGCAGAACGATAAATTTATTTCTCAAAATACACACATGTCTCCATTTGTTAATGTTTAATACGCCATGAAAGTAACTTAAACAGTTTGAAACTTGTATCTTAATAATTGGTCATGTATTATTATCAGTGTCAACCCCAGATTCTCATGATCCTTTTTTAACTTTAAATGTTATATTTATTTTATGCAGACTATGAAATGAATTGTGTGTGACAATATTTAGTTTGTATGTTGCTGAGAATACGTGGCCACGGGTAGATAGACAATTTTCTAAGCTTTTGTAAGCTTTTTAAGCGGGGGACCCATGCAGTTAGTATTCAAGTCCCACTCACACACGTCCACATTTATTGTCTAAAAACATAATGTTTTTTGTGTCTGTATATCTTTATATGACTTTTTTTGTTTGTAATGAAATATGGAAAACATGAATTTATATCTCTAACAAAAGAAAGTTAATCATTTTGTATGATAAGAACGCTGTGCTTACTTTCATAGTGGAAAGTGTTATATTTTGCTTTCTGACACATGAATGACGACATACGTAACTCCACTGCACACGTGTGGGTCTGTAAATGGCCCCGGTGCACGTGTATACGGTTTACATGGGTTTCACCGACATGGCATCATTGTATTGATACAATACCAGCTCTAGTCAGGTTTGGGTGACCACTGGTGTACAGTGTAGGGTGACAGTCTTCAGCGAAATGTGTGGCAACACCACCAAGCAGTCAGTGCCCTTTCAGTAAACAAGATGTCTCGATTTCCTTTGTTAACAACAATAGATGATAAATGTGAAATTTTGTATTGAAAGCAGACCAACAAGTTCGGCCAGTGATATGATCTAACCTTGGCAGTGTTTGGGGCTTGCATGACTGTAATACCCATTCGTTTCGTCATGTTCACCTTCGCAAAAAGTTATCGACTTCAGATATCCAAGATAGATAACGAGACAGACGGTCTTATGTTACAAAGTGACTACGTTGGCCAATAGACTGCCTTGTAGAACTATGTACTTAATCCTACCGTCTGTGTCTAGACTAGAAATCAAAAGTAAAACAAGCAGAAATCCGCTTACTCATGCTTTCAGAATCAGGCGGAGAAGCTAACATTGCAGCCTCCCACACCCCTCATGTGACAATACCTGTTCTTGTTTCTCATCTTGAGTGGCACTGTGTGATCACATACACTTCTCCAAGGTTGTTAGTTAATAAGAAACAGACAACAGGTATCCTGAAAATTCAGAAAAAAATACAAGTTTAACAAACTTAGCACGTGACCAGAGTGTCAGTGAAACACAGCGCCAAGGTGTGAATATCGCTGCCTCAGCATATTATCATTACAGTCTTTTATTTTGGTAACACGTTCTGAAAAAAACAATTTATGTTTTAAAGCCTACAATTTCAAAACCATTAAGTATTCATCTCTAAGCTACCGCATCACCGTAACGAGCCCATGTGATCCTGTAGATGCTCAAACCACTCATTCGTCCTTGCTCGGACCATAAAATTGCAAGTGACGTCACCAGAAATCTTCCTGAATGGCTGGATGATACCGGACACCTCTGCTCTTCCAGCAGATTTACCGCGCGAGACACCGACAAGCCGAAAACCACTTGTGAAAATATTCGATCCTGTATTACTCACGACAAAAACCAATCTGTCTTCCCCAAGTAACCGACTCCTAGACACAAGATGCGTGTGGCTCAGGGAGCAACACAATTGTAACCATCTTTGATGTGGAGACAAGACAGAATACACCAGTATTGGATCTAGGCAGGTTTATCTTTCTATCAGTCAATGTTTCTTTGGTCTGGTTCCTGTGGATAAAGTCCCTTTTTGTTTTTGGTGTTTGTGTGGGCTGTCAGTTTGTGTGAAAGAGAATCAGAAACTGTTGGTGCACCCAGGCCATCCGTGTCTTCGAATTGATAAGGCCTGACATACTTGATAAATGTGTAAGTTATACTTGCATATATCACATTTCAACTTGATCTAAATGTGTTACGTGCAATGTCTATAAGTTAATAGATATAGTTGGTTTTGAAAGACACGTCGTTCCGTATAATATGACTACCTACGATTAAGTACATCATTTAAAGCAATACATCTCGCCATTACGCAGGTTGGAAGTTCTTCATGAGTACACATTGCTGTGTACGCTTGAATTAAATACTTAAGCATATTATATAGCCTCACATACTTAGAATTAAATTTGGTGGAATTCCTTTTGTCTGTTACTCACTATGTCAGTGAACAACGTCGATAGTATCGTGAGCCACCGCCGCGTTCAAGCGACTAATCTCGGGAATTGTCATGGGTGGGGTACTTATTACTATTCTTCTGAATGAAATTGATGATATCAGTGTAGGAATATGCTACAATACTTGTACACCAGGATGGGTCTGTATATGCACACACATTAAATGTATACATAAAAGGCCATGTACATAAGGAAAAGTATGTTTAGTGCATGTTATGTCCACGCTGTAAGGAACGTCACGGCACACGCTGCGCGGCTACATCTACTTATCATTTCGGATATTCAAAGCCGTGCAGGGAATTATATTTTACTTCGAGGTATCTTCGACGGTTGACAATAGATCATTAGTCGTTAGTTCTTAATACGTGTCTGATTAACAGTTGAAAACGATCTTTGAAATCAGTATACATTGACTCCTGTGATTGTATGTTTGGCAACCTAATTGACTCTGCTGCAATCGGGGACTGGTATCCATGCGCGGCATCGTGCGGAAACACGATTGCTTTGAGAAAATAACACGATAATGCAAAATGGTTCTTACATTTAAATTAAACAAATGTAATAAAATGTGAAGATATAGATACAGATTAAACAAATATTACATAGGATGACTTTTTACTTCAAAAGCTGCAGTGTTTCTCAAAATGTCTACAACATTGTACACATGTGGCACGGTATATGATCTCATGATGGCCCCAGACAATAAGGGGAGGGAATCTCCGGTTAAACGTTCAGTTGGTCAATTAGAAATTATTAAAAATAGGTAACAGCAAACTGTATCGAGTTCGTGAATAATGCAAAGAACGACTTTGCTGTTGTCGTTCGCTTGCCACAAAAGGAAGTCTGAACACTATTAATTCCGTTGAAAAATTACATTATCTGAAAACAGTGTGTGTGTGTGTGTGTGTGTGTGTGTAAGCGTGCGTGCGTGCGTGCGTGCGTGCGTGTGTGTGTGTGTGTGTGTGTGTGTGTTTTCGTGAGTTGTATTCAGCTGTGTCAGCTGATCGGTCGGAAGCAGATCATAACAGTTTTACTTGCCTTTCATTGATCGTGTTGACACGGGTCATATACGTTATCATTGATGGGCATGGATACACGCACAGAAGTTGTTTTTCTTTATTAGGGTTTTGTTAAAAGTCGCTAACAGGTAGGTGGGGGTGGGAGGCAACATGACAGTTTGGGTCAAATGGTAATCGTTAACTCCCGTGTACATGGTGGTTATATAACTCTCTTTTAACCCAAGTTATGTATAGTTGTATTACATGATCGGTTTAATTCTCCATAAAGTGAAGTGCTGCTTCCCGGCGTGCAATGTTTGTATCTTTATGTGCCCTATTATAATTCCAGGTACATGTATACCTAATGATACAATCCCAAGAGAAAATAAATGACTTCATGTTTGCATGTGCGATTAGTTTATTTAAAAATATCAGACATCCCATGCTATAAACGCACAGTAGGCAATACGACTCACGAATGAATATGTACCAGTACAATTCCCACCCTCCATCCGTCACACCCTCCTGCAATATCCTTCTGTCTGTCCCTCTCCTATTTCCGCCTCTCCATCCGCCATCCCCTTCCAGGCACCACTTCCCTTACCCCTCCTCAAACCGTTTCCATCAAGCCCTCCCCACACAAACATGTATACCACCCATCCTCTACACAAACCACCCTCCCTCCATCCATCCAACGAAGTGGATATCTCGATGACGTGATTGGTTATGTTCGTAATTTCAGACAGACAGACATTAAGTGCAAATGATTTATATGGTAGAGTTTACATAAATGTTTTTTAGTTTCCAACAATTTGTTTCCTCAATATAAATGTGAGGCTGTGTTACATATAAAATCCATTAAATAATCCAATAATTAATACAGTTCCTGTGCACAAGCACATTTGAATGGCTGCCCCAAGTCATCGCACTCCCTGGGACTATGCACTGGCCAGTCAGGCCTCCGACGCTGGTTGGCCCACTGCCGTTGAGGTGGAGAGATTTTACTGCTGCTTTGGTTACAAAACAAGCCCGTTGAAATCACACCTTCGATGTTATGGAGCAACATATTATGCAGTTTTATGTAACAGTTACTGTCATACATCTGTCCATAGCTTAAATTCTGCTCGATATTTAAGGATAATGTTAGGCTTCCAATCATGTAAGGACACAATTTAACTGGAGCAGGATCTCGAGGCAGTGGTTGGTTGTTGACAAGAAAGTCATATCGAAATGTAAATGTTCCCTGAAACAAACATCCAATATATGTTATGTGATAACTTATTACTTCTGATCTTCCACATCCTTTCACATTCAGTTACCTATATTATCTACACATGCTGAAAAAAGGGTTGTCGCAAAGTTCAAATCTGAGAGTGAATGAATGAGATTGGTTAACGCCGTTTAAAAAGTATTCCAAAGGCCGAAGAAACATATCCTTGGGATGTGGTACATTATGTCTACCTACTTAAACATACAGTGTTTTCATTGTAGAATAACGTGTTTTTTTGCGCATGTGTTGTAACAACTGACGATCCCATATCGCGGCGACGGATACGCAACGATGGCACGAATAGAATCTTTCAATAACACGTAACGTGGCAAGAGTTACCTCCCCTATTGCTTGTGCTGCCAGCAAAGCCTGTCGTTCAACAGTCAATACAGGTGAGCGGTCCGCGGACTTCCATCGCACTTTCACCATTGTGTGGTAACCTTATGTACAGACAGTTGTTTAATACAACTTCGGGACTCAACACTAACCATTGTTTATCAAATCAGTGTTTATTAGCATAAATGTCACTATTTTCAGCTTTAAACACATTGTTGTAACTTTCATAAACGTGCTGTACTTTCCAGGTTTCTATTTTTAAACCAATTACATCACAATCATGTTTGATCAAGTAATAGAATAGACGGGGAAAGGTGTTACACGTATATTTGTTTCAAACGATGACTAATGTATATTCAGCGCAGCATCAGTACATGCTGAACCCTTTCTAACTGTAGAACGCTGGGATTCATTTCAAAGCATTCACTGATGCATTCACGGTGAAACAACCAGTTTTGTTAATGACACGACGACCCCACGTATTAAGCTCTGGCTGTGTAAAGGAAAACCGAACAGAAACAAGCTACGAATACGTGGGGTGATCGTGACATTATGTAAAACTGTTCAATTCATCTGTGACCTAGCCGACACCAAGCCACTTGGTACTCTTGTCTCTTCGTGACATTTGGTAATAGGAGGCTAAAAACCAGTAATAGTTTGAATCATTGACATGGGAAAACGTTACTGGTCCCTGAAAAGAGGAATAGTTGAACTTCGAGGTATATGTTGATGGTTGTCATATGATTTTGAAAATACGTGTGAGTGAGTGATACAGGTCTTAGAGTTTTACCGCCTTGGTCACACCGATGAGCACAGGTAATGCTCTCACAAGAATCAAGAAACAATCAGGGTACAACTCGGATTCGAGTCATGTAGGGTTTCGCACACCTAAGGGACTGAACTCTGCACAGGAAATTGCTGCGTCTTTCACGACTGTGCGATCTGTGCCTCTTAAGAAATACTTAGTATAATACTAATGTAGGGTAATAAATGAAATATAACTGCGCCGTACATTGCATCCGAGTCCTGCGTTTATTTGGCGAGACGTTGGACTGTAGATACGTTTTCCTCACATACATTTTATGTTGGATACGAGTTCGACGTTCTTAGAGCACCCATTCAATCATCGAGATTTTCACTACTGTCCTGAAACTCCGCCATGTTGTCATTTCACTGATATTTGTATCGACATCAGTGTTGTGAGGACGCTCGGTGTCACGTGTAACTGAAACAAGCAGTAACTTGCAGTTGTCTTATTGTAGCACTTGAACACTGAAACATTGATGGAGCTATTTTCCTATTACAGGTGTCAGAATTTGACAGACACGGGAATTCACTTAGAATGAATATGGATTTGACCTACTATGGAGATATAACCAAGATAAACCCAAAGGGGGCGTCTACCAAGACATCTTTGCAAGATCAACTCGAAGTGTCAGGTATGTGACGATTGTGTGGTACAGTTAGCTGGTACGGTGACAGTGGTCACAACACACATTTTCAAGACGCTATGAGAGATATTAGAAATTGTTCAGTGCAATTCCGTCTCAATTATGTCTTACTTGTCAAATCGCTTCCAGGTCTAGATAAACAGTTATATAATTGATTTCTAAATATGTGATATATATACTTTGTATAAGTAATGAGGTGAGGTAAAATGGGGTTTAACGTATGTTTGTGTGTGTGTGGCTGCTTGTACTAGTTCGGACTAATGCCGATTTTTTAGTGCTGGCCCACTGAGATACCATGCCGCAGTTTAACATGAATACCCACCTCAGACACAGTATACTTACTCCGAGCCGACCAGTCCTTGTTCAGCCCCTTTATGCCGAGCGCCAGGCAGGGTAACAACAAGTACTATCTTTCAATTGGTATAACCCCCGGACTTTCCCCTCACCGGGCGGACACTGTACCACTAGAATACGGAGGCGGTCCATGAGTAATGAGTGTTTTATGATAACATGCTAGCAATAACTGCTTGTTACTATTCAAGACTGTGCAAGTGCAGATCGTTCTGCATGTTTTGTATAAAGGTTTGAATGTTCAAGACTGTGCAAGTGCAGATCGTTCTGCATGTTTTGTATAAAGGTGTGAATGTTCAAGACTGTGCAAGTGCAGATCGTTCTGCATGTTTTGTATAAAGGTGTGAATGTTCAAGACTGTGCAAGTGCAGATCGTTCTGCATGTTTTGTATATAGGTGTGAATGTTCAAGACTGTGCAAGTGCAGATCGTTCTGCATGTTTTGTATAAAGGTGTGAATGTTCAAGACCGTGCAAGTGCAGATCGTTCTGCATGTTTTGTATAAAGGTGTGAATGTTCAAGACTGTGCAAGTGCAGATCGTTCTGCATGTTTTGTATAAAGGTGTGAATGTTCAAGACTGTGCAAGTGCAGATCGTTCTGCATGTTTTGTATAAAGGTGTGAATGGTCAAGACTGTGCAAGTGCAGATCGTTCTGCATGTTTTGTATAAAGGTGTGAATGGTCAAGACTGTGCAAGTGCAGATCGTTCTGCATGTTTTGTATAAAGGTGTGAATGTTCAAGACTGTGCAAGTGCAGATCGTTCTGCATGTTTTGTATAAAGGTGTGAATGTTCAAGACAGAGTCAAATGTGTTTAGTCATTTCTAGCGACATCATTGAAGCAATAAGTAATATGTAAAATGTCTTTTACGTCTCACTTCTCCCCATGCTCATGACATATTTTGGTGGCCTTCACATAAAAATACACATTTAGCCGCAATGTTATGGTTTTGGTATAAAGTGTACATCTACAAATACCCGTAATGCACAACAGCGCAGCATGTAGAAATACGATGTTTGTTTTGTGATTTACTATTTGAGTTTGTTGATACAAAATGTTTGACGTCCCTATCAGGAGTAGCTGCCTCTCAGTCTCTGGTCGCTGCTGATTTAGCCGAGCTGGGCAAGCTGAAGAACATCATTGTGAAAGTTGGAGAGAGTCTCAGTAGGTTACAACTGACAGTCTCAAAATAAGACACAAGTTAGAATTGTAGAAGTAACTGTACCTTGCAATCTTAAGTGTGTGACAAAAGAGTCAATGTTTTGCACAAATCCTGAATGCAAGAGGAAATATATGTGTTACAGAATAGTATTCGACAATGTGATCTACGAAACAGAAACTTTCAACCATTACCCTCAGCCAATGTTTATACGCCTACATGTGTACGAGTTAAAACTCACTTTGAAAATTATATATTCAGTTTGGGAGTCATTTTCCAGACAAAGTTTGAAAACTTGACGTGTCTTTCAGACATCTCCCCTGCTCTCATAGCAGCCATTGCCAGTCGAGAGTCTCGGGCAGGGAGACTGATCAAGTCTACACAAGGCTATGGTGATGGAGGAAATGGGTATGGCATCATGCAGGTTTGTAGTAAAGTTTAGTTATAAAGCAGTACTTATTGATAGTACTTTTACAAGCGAATGAAAGAAATGATATCTTTGTGTAATAGAAGTACATATATGTAATGACTGATTTGGTTTCAGATGAAAGGAATTTTATATTAGGAATAATCCGAATGATCTCTAATTGTGATATGTAAATGAATATTTTCTCTGTCAGTGTGACATCAACACCTCGGGGGTAGACTGGAAGAAGCACGCCTGGGACAGTGAAGGGCACATTAAGCAGGCGATACAGGATGTTCTTATCCCCAAGATAACTGGCGTCCAGAACAAACACCCAAACTGGACCAAGGAACAGCAGCTGCAAGGTATAGTGTTCCATAGCCATCTTTGTCACGTTCTCAGCAACCATCACAAGAGAAAACCAGAAACAGACAGAACGAAATGGTGCCACATGTTAAATAAGATGAGTTTTTGGTTTTGGTTCGATAATGCAGCATAATTTGAACTTTGATTATGTCATGTGTATCTTCATTAATCATTGTATGTTATGTAAACACACATGTGCGATATGGGAAACAAGGTCTTTGATTTCAGGTGGGATTGCTGCTTATAACTTTGGAGTGAAGAATGTACAGACAGTGGCGGGGATTGACGTTGGAACTACCGGTGACGACTACAGCAATGACGTAATCGCACGTGCTCAGCATCTCATTGACTGTCATGGGTGGTAGTAGAGATGTTGTAAAGAGTTATAACCGTTTGGAGAGAATATGTTTTCTTTAATGATTAAAGTATGAGCTATTCCACTACAACTTATACACCTACATGTACATGTGCTTGCATAGTTCTTAGTACTAACAAGGTCATAAACACTATCTGGTAACGATTCATATACACAATGTTTATGATATGGCCGGAGTTGTATCAGGGTTTTGTCGCTTTTATGTTGTAAAGTTGAGATGACTTGGCATGAGATTCCCCGTGTTTCTGCAAATAGATGATTGTTTTTCTGAGCATATTACAGTCACACGTAAAATACACGATATAAAGAGAAAGTTATACAAGTGGTCCAGACAAGGTTATTACAAAGTCAATCGTGCATTGCCTTTTATGCTCCATTTATATTACTAGTGAGATATATCCATATAAAATTGCTGTTGCATACCTAAATCACTCTCTCCTTGTCCGGATCCATACCAGAGGATATTCAACATATAATTCTACATTCTGTTTTTGCCATATGTTTTCGTATCCAACCTTAACTTCTTATATATTAACGTAATATTATAACATTTCTTAGCTAACCGATAGGATGGCATATTTACTGGCATTTCTATTTCTTCAAACTTATTTAATCCCCAGACTTCTGCCCAATATAGAAATATTGGATTTATCTTAACATCAAACATTCCAAAGAATGATGTATGGTTTATATCTCCAAAATACTGACATACCTTAGTGTTTCTGCTTGAATTGCTGCATATTTTGCATGTGATGCCCAGGATCATACAACATCATCATCATATAACACTTACGTGGTAAAAGGTAACATTTCATATTAAGTGTTTTCAGCCATTTGTTATCAATGTGATATATTGGGATACATACAATGGTTCACAACGTCCACACTCCCTCCCCATGCACCAGTACATTTGAAGTACATTGTTTCGTACCTCAAAATCTTTTACACGCACAAAGATGAATTTATTGCTTTAGATTCACTTTGTCCCAGTACTTCAGCGCCAAATAAAAAATGGGAAAATCTTACTATCCAAACTCTTAAAGGACGTCTTGGAGTAGAGATCACTTACCTTTTGTACACTATGTAACAGTCCGAACAGTAGATTCTTCCCTTGAACCGCTGCATTATTAATATGTTGCTTTCACAACTTATTTGAAAATGTAACCACCTACTATTTATAAGAAGTAACTTTCCCATATTTTGCCTTTGAAATACCATACCTTTTTTGCTAGTATATAACCTTTACTGAACACAATAACCCAAGTCGTATCTAAAATAACACTGAGCCTCCAATTATTACAATATAGTTCTTATTGTGTTTGTATCAGCCTTTGTAGGTATTTTATAGTACAATGGAAACGTAACAATTTCATCTGCAAAGAGTTACATAAATATTTTAATACTGTCTGCGTGTATTCGAAATTCCCCATAATTATACCGTCTTATCTGTTCAGCAAATTAACCAGTATAGAATGAGAAGAGAAAATGGCTTAGCACACGGTCTTGTCGCACACAGAGTCACAAGTAAAAATCTTGATAGATATATAATAACTTTACCGTTTTATTACTCCTCCTGTGAGAACGAATAAAACACTAATTTTACTTCTTGTTACAGAATCAAATTGTTTAGAGAAGTCCACAAACATTACATATAAGTTTCTATGCTTACCCTGTATATATCTGTAAATCTGTGGCAACAGTGAAACCATCGTCTATTTGATTCCAGTGAAACTGTCTCTGGGGCGGTCGGGTAGCCTCGTGGTTAAAGCGTTCGCTCGTCACAATGTGCTAAGCCTATTTCAGGTGTCCCCCGCCGAGATTTTCCTGGAATATTGCTAAAAGCGGCGTAAAGCCATACTCACTCACTCACTAAAACTGTCTCTTCATTCAGCGCCACTAAGTACATTTGTTTTAATTTCTACAAATAAACAAAGTCTATGTACCATGTGTGTTATTTATTGTACGTGTGTACATCCAATTATGGAAGTGGTGCCACAGTGGCTGCAGTGGCGTTACATACCGCCTGACGTAAGCCGAAGGCTTGGTGAGGATACCGACACGTTGTGTGCTCATCTATTTGCACATCCTTCCCAGCTTGTATCTTCTGTTTGCTCGCCAGACAATAGGGACCTAATTAATTAAAGACAAACATTGTATCATGTATTGGTAATGGCGTTCAATAATAGAGAAAAAATAACATATTGCTCATTTTATTAGTAGTATAAAAACGCTTGGCACATACTCGTTATTAAACATGCTTAGCGTGACATCGATTAAACTGTTTCTATATATCGGAGAACTTGGAAAGAACGTTTCCGTCAATTCTGTGTTAAAGGCTTTACGTACCAGTAAAGCGAATGTTTGCGGTATCGAAACATGTACCATGTGGCCATATAACAGAAATGCACTGTCACTGAATCTGATGGATAAATGTAGACACACGAAACTGATCAGATCACTTTATGAAATAGTTTTATGCCGACGTCCGGTTCGTTCATTTCAGTTCTATATATTCACAAGCAGCATGTGATTTGCAAACGGTGAAACACACTTTACCAATAGTTATAAATCGAAGAAACGTGTATACCCAAATACATTCAGTTAACAACCATGCGTAAATGCTTTGTGTTTCCTTCATAGAGCGTGTACTATCACTATAGAACAGACACAATAATTTTGTTTCACTGAGCCTATTCTCAACAGAGGTTTACATACACAATGAACTCAAAATACAATCTCTTACCGTTTGGACAAGTAGGACAGCAAGCGTCTGGTGTCTTCACAGCGTGCTTCAACACAGTTGGCCATAAAACAATCTGCAATCATACAGGCGACACGCCACTGATTGCAGAAGCAAGTTTCACACGGTGACGGACGATAGGATGACCCATCTTGGAGGAAATTACCACCGACGATACATCCGTTCAGTACAGTAGGTGGTGGTTAGGTTAGGGCTGGAAGGGCAGTTGCACTGCATAAAGTCGAAGCAAGGAGAAACGTCAATGTCGCCATAATAGCATGTTATAATGTTGGTATCACAACTCGATACAGAATTAGGTGACCTTATTGTCAACAGATATAGACACAGGTGTGACAAAACGTGTGAACTATATATATCAATGTAGGACTGTGAACACCTTTTCATGGTCGTACGAAGAGCAATAAACACCCTAGACGAACAAAGTTATAAGCAGGACAGTAAAGACCCTTAGCATGGTTATAGGGATAGTGAAGACCCCAGACATGGTCATGAGAAGGACATTTAACACCACAGACATGGCCATAAGAAGGACAGTAAACACCCTAGACAGGGTTATAAGAAGGACATTAAACACCCCAGACATGGTCATAAGGACATTTAACACCCCAGACATGGTAATAAGATGGACATTAAACACCCCGATATGGTCATAAGAAGGACATTAAACACCCCAGACATGGTCATAAGAAGGACATTAAACACCCCAGACATGGTTATAAGAAGGACATTAAACACCAAAGACATGGTCATAAGATGGACATTAAACACCCCAGACATGGTCATAAGAAGGACATTAAACACCCCAGACATGGTCACAAGAAGGACATTTAACACCCCAGACATGGTAATAAGATGGACATTAAACACCCCAGACATGGTCATAAGAAGGACATTAAACACCCAAAACATGGTCATAAGATGGGCATTAAACACCCCAGACATGGTCATAAGAAGGACATTAAACACCCCAGACATGGTCATAAGAAGGACATTAAACACCCCAGACATGGTCATAAGATTGACATTAAACACCCCAGACAGGTCATAAGAAGGACATTAAACACCCCAGACATGGTCATAAGGACATTAAACACCCCAGACATGGTCATAAGAAGGACATTAAACACCCCAGACATGGTTATAAGAAGGATATTAAACACCAAAGACATGGTCATAAGATGGACATTAAACACCCAAGACATGGTCATAAGATGGACATTAAACACCCCAGACATGGTTATAAGAAGGACATTAAACACCCCAGACATGGTCATAAGATTGACATTAAACACCCCAGACATGGTCATAAGAAGGACATTAAACACCCCAGACATGGTCATAAGGACATTAAACACCCCAGACATGGTCATAAGAAGGACATTAAACACCCCAGACATGGTTATAAGAAGGATATTAAACACCAAAGACATGGTCATAAGATGGACATTAAACACCCCAGACATAGTTATAAGAAGGACATTAAACACCCCAGACATGGTCATAAGAAGGACATTAAACACCCCAGACATGGTCATAAGATGGACATTAAACACCCCAGACATGGCCATAAGAAGGACATTAAACACCCCAGACATGGTCATAAGAAGGACATTAAACACCCCAGACATGGTCATAAGAAGGACATTAAATACCCCAGACATGGCCATAAGAAGGACATTAAACACCCCAGACATGGTCATAAGAAGGACATTAAACACGCCAGACATGGTCAACAAGATGGACATTAAACACCCCAGACATGGTCATAAGAAGGACATTAAACACCACAGACATGGTCATTAGAAGGACAGTAAACACCCTAGACAGGGTAAAAGGACAAAGGACACCCTAGGCATGGTCATAGTAAGGGATTAAACACCCTATACATGGTTATAAGCAGGACAGTCAACTTACCAGACATGGTTAATAAGGACATCACACACGCTAGACATGATAATATGAAAGGCCTCAATGCACGGTAATAAGGACGGTAAATGCCAGAGACATGGTTATAATCAGGACAGTAAACACCCATAGATTTGTTTCAAGTAAGACATATTCAAGAATAACACGTGTGATATACGCGATAAAAATCTTGTGTATTGTTTTTTTTTTGTAATCAGTACGTCAGGTAAACAGAATGGTGTGTCATAATGTCAACTCATGTTCGGTAAATGCTGTATTGGATGAGGTAAACGCTATATGATAAATTTCCACAAAAATTCCTATTGCTTTCCTCCACACTATACATATATACATACAACACAAGCTTCCAAGTCCTAACTTCACAGAATGATGTATTTTCCTATCTTATCTCTTACAATCGCATGACCTGGATTCAGATCTATACGGTAACATCTAGGTGAAATGCCTAATTGAGAATCTTCACTCTCTATTCTGCTTTCCATGGCGATATCGATGTTCTGTTCCCTGCTGGCTGTTTCCTACATCGGGTCCCTGCTACCCACAGCGGTCTCCCTGCCCCGCGGGCCAACGCTCCAGCCCGGGTGCCACGTTAATGGCCAGTTCCACCCTGAAGGTTCCTCCTACCAGCCTTCAGCTTGCAAACACTGCTTCTGCAGCCAAGGCCGGGAGGTGTGTGCCATTGCCGATTGCTTCTTTACACCTTGTGTCGACCCTGTTCACAAACCCGACGTGTGCTGTCCTATATGTCCGAATGGTACGTGATGTTATGTTGAATTTCATTGCTTGCCATGGTTTTACTATAATATCGAAATATTGTATATCATGTGAACCTAAACAACGTAATGATAAATTTTGAGTACAGTATATTGTAAAGATTACATATCGTGATTACATTTGAAGAATGACGAATGGTTTATATTAAGCTTTAACCGAACTTAACTGCAATGAATAACCAAACATAATTGGATTGAAAGACAATAGCAAAGTTGTGATTCTCACTTCAGTATACTCATCATAACCTTCGCGGTCTGAAATAGTGCTTACATGGAAGAAACTACAATGTAAGATCATCTTCATTTAATAAAATTTGAAAGCATTAATGATAACCAGATTAACGGAGAATACGAAGAATAATACTTATTCGTTAAGGATATATTATATAATATATAATAATGAGGCAAACTTGATACACCGTATGTCCTTGTGCTTTCAAGGTTCCAACTGTTGGGCATTAAAACAGATAATTCCCGCAGGAAGAGATGTGAAAATTGATGAGCACACAACGTGCCGATGTCCAGGCCCAGGACCCCGTCAAAACCAGGCTGTGTGTACCATCGCAATGCAACCTGTGACAGTTCTTCCTGTCGAAATGCCATAGTCACCACTCCTCAATAAATAGAAGTAATGTCTGAGGTTTTCATTCTGGCAAAGAAAATATGTTACGTACCATCAGATGTATTGTGGCGTAGGTAAGATACGAACCTCAGAAATCACATTGTCACTTAAGCAAAAGGTCATGAGGTCGAGAATTCACCAGTTATAATATCCTCACAAGACCTTTACTATGTTAATTCTCCTATACTCAATATTATTCATATTCATACTACATGAAATAACGACGGTGTTTATGAACCGCGGCATGTTCATTTTGTGATTCACTCACGGTATCTTCCCAAAGCTTAATTGTACTTACAGCTCACTTCCCTACGATTTGAGAGGATTTTGTGTAGCAACACACATGATATAATATATTTTAACTATGAATAGAATACGTGCATGACAAATTATCGCTTATGTGACAGACCCGTTTCCATACAACTCAACAACAAAATATTCTTACAATTCAAATAAAAACCCCAGATCAAGACAGGTTCGAGGTGTAGGCCTAAAGAGAGGACGCCGAGTCAACTGTTCTGTTTATAACCCAACTGATTCAAGATACAGAATATTATGTAAGCAGTTCTTTTCTGAGAAGCAAAGCGTGGGACAGACGTAACGATAATTCATATTGTGTAGTTTCCAAGTCTATGAGTGCAAAAACCTATTAACAATTACGCACTCTCACGTCATGGTATGGAGGACAGTGTAGTAGAAAACGGTATTTATCTTCCAATCTTTGTTAACATAAGGCGCATATCCTAATGTATCGTTCCACGTATACATTGCGTCGGCGTGTAAAGATGCATCAATCGATATAACATCACCCGTAGCTAAGTAGAAATAGTAACTAAAGGTTTAACGTTATGACTGGATAATAATTTGATAATTTGACAATTCATCTTAATGTACTTCGTTCCCTTGGTTGCAACAACTAGATCTCATAATGCAAATGTAGGACTGTAATTATAGAATAGTGAGAACACATTTACTGGAGGCAGGGGACATGATCACATGACACAGGGAACGGGACAGGGGGGAACAGTGGTTTATTAAGGCACAACAATTCGCTATTCATACTTGTGTCCCTTTCATGTAGTTAAGCCAGGATCCGTAGATCGTGGGGTATTATGTCATCACCATACCTATGCTCGTTGGTTTCACCCAAGTAAACATCTCTGCTGTGAAGCACTTTCCTCTCCACGGAAGAGTCACCATGTCCATCAAGGATTAGTCCATACGATCGTACCATTCACATATTGGTGAAGCTATACCACCACACCTAAGAATTTGTCAAGAAATACAATCTGCAATATTATGATATAGTTGATTTTAATACCTGAAGGCGAAAGAAAATGTGTTTCATACTCTTTTACCTATTTGTTTCAAAACACAGCATGGAGTCCTATTGAGGCTAAACATAAGTTTGAGCGTTCTGAAAAGGTAGAAAAACGAATATATATGACTGTAGCCAAATATTATTATTGCTGTAAGGGTCTTTGCTAGTACTGGTTCTGTATACATGGGCGCACACAGTAAATACAAGGCACTCGCGTTTTCAGATATATCGAAACGTACTCAGCAAATCATTCCAGGAGACTCGAAACATGGGGGAAGATCTTCGAGTATTTACGAAATAATTTATGGATTAGAACCAAATTTTCTGTCTAGCTTTTCATTACAAATGTGACCGCCTCCATGTTCTCGAGGTAGATCGTCCGTCCAGAGAGCGAAAGATCCGGGGTTCGATCACCGGCCGCGTCATACCAAAAGACGTTAAAAGATGGTACTTGTTGTCATGCATTAATGTTGCATTAATGTTGACACGGACCTAAATACATGATTTGGGAAACGTATTTCCAAATTGTAATTTCTCGTCAGTGTTGTGGGTGATATATATTCTTACATCGAAAAAACCCAAATGTACCTGTGTGAATATATGTGTGTAATTGTGTATGTGTCATGTATATCGTGTGTTAGAGTGTAGAGAATAAAAAAACGTGGTACCTGTAATGATAGGTCTATGTAACTCCCTCTGGAAACTCCGACATCGTACTCGTCCTGTTGACTCACTTCTTCCAGCGTACTGAATGGAACATATTCCTTAGTGACAGTTAGAAATGCGAATAGGTTCCCTGTGTACACGGAGGTGATTACGATACAGAAACTCCACCAGAATCCAAGAAGAACTTTTGACGACGATGAGTCTGGAGTGGCTGCAACACCTGATGGAGTAAAAGTAAAAACTGCTAAGTTTGATCAAGAAATATTGAGCTGTCTTTGAGTTATGATTCGGAAAGGAAAGTGACGCACGGGCGGAAGCCATTTCTGTACCGCCCTCCCATGATGGTAATAATAATGAAACAAACAATGTATGCCTACCTTGGCGTAAGGGGATGAATATCCCCAGAAACGCAATGTCAGATACTCGTAGGCCGTGCTTTAATTCACCATGTCTTGGATTCACTTTTTGCAGAATCAGAAACAGGATGATTACGCCAAACATGGTTATGAGACCATACAGGTAGATCTCCCACTTGAAGCAAGACGTTAAAGCAGTCCATTTTGTCATCTGCATTTCTGTTTTCTTGTAGACTGCCGACTGTCTTGAGTAAATGATCGGGTAGCTGTACGTCATCACCTTACTTCTTTCTGTGCTCGCTGCATACGGAACACCGGTCATATCTACTTCCTGAATAATGATAGATGGATGAGCATCAAACACACTTTATATTGAAAAACGAATTTCATGTTATAAATACTGCCCCAAAGACTACCCAGTTTGCATTGCAACGCGCATGGATGCATTGATTGTTATAATATTATACTTGGCAAAATAACCACAGAAACAATAATATCTAATGATCATTACGAATCTCGTGATTAATAATCCACTACACATTTGATGTAACAATAGGAATATCTTTAATTATCTTGTATTTAATAATCTTCTATTTGTCAGTGTCTATATATCCCCATCTCTGTGTCTAATATTCATGGGTACAATGTGTGAAGCCCATTTCTGGTGTCCCCCGCCGTGATATTGCTGGAATATTGCTAAAAGCGGCGTAAAACCATATTCACTCACTCACTCACTCACTCTAATATGCAAGCCAATAATCGGACAGTGTTTGATATTCGAAAAGCCATGTGTATTGGCCCAGTTATTCAGTGTAGGACGATGGACTGTACCTCTCTCTGAAGCATTCCTACAATTCCGTTCCATGTGGTGTGATTTCTCTCTCCCCACTGACAGTCTACCGGCTCCACAAACGTCACACTGGTCAAAACAATTAACATAAACAACACATGAGTTGCAAAAACAACCTAACCTAAGCGTAGTTAACGTTGGAGTTTGTGTTGAGCCAGCGATGCCTGTATATCTTCGGAATCACTGATCACAATAGATTTGAAGGAAATATCGAGTACTGTCAATTAATTTTCGTTCTTCAAAATCCTTTTCCTTTAGAAAACTCGAATATATATGCAAAATTCAATAAAGCGTTAGTCAAGAAACAAAATGAACAAATTTGAAGAATAATTATTAAAACTCACTGAAAGGGGGACTCTTCGTTGTCTATTTGCTACATGCAACAAGAACGTGTTGTCCTTTGGCAATGAGATATTTGGCAGTTGGCCATATGCTTATGGCTGTTACAGAAGAACGACATTCATTACCTGAGATGGAATCTGTCAAATTGCCATGGCTGTCAGGGATACTGTTTTCTTTGTAAAAGCAGATGTCATTCTTACCTGAAATTATATGTGCTGGATAATCTTTTGAGTATCTCCACAGAAACACCAGTGTACACAATCTCTCCGTCGGTAACCTCTCGGTTTGCATATGGTAACCACTGAGTGAAAAAAAACCCCAAAAACATGAATCTCCCCACACACAATCTCAAAACGCGAGATATAAGGGCATGGATAACGGATTAAGCTGTCATTGAGTTTCATTATTTAGCTGTGACCACGTTCATGAAAATAGTCACCGGAATTGTGCGGCTTTTTTCTAATTATTAATGTTGGTTTGTCAGTTTTTTCCCCGTTTACTTGGATTACCTTACAGCATATGTGATTCTACTAGAAGTCTTATTAACTAATATTGATTTTCATTAATTAAATTTTCCATGCATGTTATGGTCATAGCTCTTATGATGAAAATGCACACCTCAAGCGCTGCAACCCGTAACGTTCTTCCATTCAGACCATATTTCGTGTTCGGGAATGACTTCCAATATGAACTGTCAGCAACAATACCCCATTCCCTTCCGTGAGGTTCCCACAGCAAAGACAGCACTTCCATTCTTTGTGACGGCTTTTCTCTTATAGTCCTTTTTACCTGACAACACAATAGATTTAGCATTTGAAATATCTTTAGAGAGTAAAAGGGCTCTTCGATACATCAGAAATCTCAGTCGCACAATTATGTTGTTATTAGTAAGTTTAAGTATAATTTATCACCAACCTATGAAACTATGAAATTAAATGGATATTTGGTGAGATATTCGGTCATGAGTTGATTGCCAAATTGAAACACCAAGGATGAACCCAAGAATCTGTTCGTCAGAACTAAATTGTGAAATCAGTAAATGACCACACAAGACCAAGGAATAATTAACACATAATATTGAAACACAGTTTCAGGTTTACATTCACAAAAGTAATCACATAAGTAGCAGAAGCAATAAAAAACAGGCACCATAATGCGTAGTTTATATTGATATTGAAAGAGGCTTGTGCGCCGTACTTAAATCCGGAATAGTGTTAGACGCTGGCAAGAATTGTTTTTTATCAGTCTGGTACTCAATCCGTATTGGCAGGCATATGAGATGCTTGTCAGGTCGCAAAAAGGCCCCGATCACCCTCGTGTCGGTACAGCCTTCTAAAAACGTCACGAAACTTCTGGAACGATCAAGTCTGTCCTGTTTGTCAACAACCAAGTATAACAGGAACATACTGATTCTCTATTACCCTTTCCGTCTTCAATCCTCGGATTATGAAACAAGATCAAGTTTATTGCTCGACATAGAAAAAGTATCATGGTAATTCTTACTTGTTTTAGTTATTGTCACCAAAGTCCAATAATACGTACCTTAGTGATCATGTTTATGTTGTCAACTACCATGTCTGTCGTTGATGTAGAATGTGTGTGATTATCAGTTGGAATAATTACCCATCTTGAGAAATGACGCAAGAGGATACGTTTGCCGACGTCGACGTCTAACTGGTGAACCTAAACAGACATTTACGAGTATTTATGTACTTATTTTCCAAATGTACAAGCGTCCGCCCGGAGAGCGGAAGGTCCGGGGTTTGATCCCCGGTCGCGTCATACCAAAAGACGTTAAAAGATGGTACTTGTTGTTACCCTGTCTGGCGCTCGACATTAAGGGGCTAAAACAAGGACTGATCGGCTCGGAGTCAGTATACTGTGTCTGAGTGGGGTATTCATGTTAAACTGCGGCATGATATCTCAGTGAGCTAGCACTATAAATTGGCATCAGTCCGGACTAGTACAAGCAGCCACAGACACACACGTGCATGCACGTCGCTATATAAGTGCAATAACCTTGGACGCGACGTTAAACCCAATTTCACCTCACCTCCAAATGTACATAAACAGGCGCAATACAAACTACCATTTATACCTTACTCAAACAATGATAGTCTTTTAATCTTGCAGGCAATGTCGTATATATGAGTAAGATTGTTTCTAAATATTCTTTACTGAATATTTCAAGGAGATATTCTGATACAGTTAGAAACTGGGCATCAGTAGAGGCAGTAGAATGATAAAGCGAAATGAGAAAAGGCCGAAATTGAATACATAATGAATTCGAACATGTTCATCAATATTTATGTTATCTGGAAACGAATTTTCTTCACCCACAGAACTAAACGAAATACATCAATAGCAATTCAAAGTGCAAAATAAGTACTTACTTTTATCATAAGTTTGTTTATACAGTCACTGCTACAAACCACAAGAAAATTCAAGTGCTTCCAAAAAGCGTTAATACTTTGTCTTTTCAAAAGCGGATGTATCACTGCTTCTGTTGTTGACACATAATTATCAGTTGTACTGAAAACAATATGGATGTCGCGGTTGTTTCCCCAAAATCGCTCTGTCTGATCTGAAAGGAAATGCTCAAATCAAAGCATCAGCCTGGTGAGCAAGTTAGTGTGTAACTTGAAATCAGTTGCTTACAGCTTCCATTCAGTAATTTGCATATCTTGGCATACCACAAAATGAATTTCCAACAGTATACATTCATACATCCATTCAACATGCGTCATTGCAAAACAACTAACATGGTGTAACGAAACTGTATTATTCGTTCATGCAAAACGCCATGTATGTAACTTGTAGAGAAAACAGTACCTAATAGACAATCACTTGTCACTGCCATCAGGTGTGATATAGAAGACTCGGTTAGGAGCTGGTTCACGAGAGGGAATGCATCAATATAATCAGTATATGCATTTTGTCTTTGCTCTGAAAGACCTGAAGCAGAGCAATGTGATTTGCCTAAAATATCAGAAACAATACATTAATAATAACATACTAAAATGTGATAACTGTCGTTGATATACTTACCATCGTGATAAAGTTGAAATACGATAAAGTTGGAATACTGGTGACTGTAGCGCTACGTTTAACATTAAAAACATCCAATCGTTCACGTAAATAATGCCAGAAATTTAGGTTTAAAAAATAAATGCAAGTTTTACTTACCAATATGTTTCACTGTTTCATTCATTATCATTAAGTATTGTAATTCTTTATACACTACAAATGCTTACAATTTCGACTAACGTACCTGCTAAAAATATGTAAATGATGTAACACAATACAGACAAAAAGTATGATAATCACAATACTTGAATATAAATGTAAAAAGGCAGAATGCAATTACCTTCCTTGAAAGTATAGCCGGCTACTTGCATATATATAAATGCACACGGTATGCTCAAAAGAAATACGCTATACATCCTAGGCGTATGCATGGTATGTGTAGCATGTGAAAGACTTCAATTGTACGTGGATCAGTGTCCGTGGTTGTGTTGACGTGTGGGGACGTGTTGTGTTTGACGTATTTGTCAAAAGAAATAAATCACTTTGCAAACGAGTACACACACTACGTTTGTTCGAGTGCATTTCAAATATCATGCCTGCAATGCTCAAATCGATTAACACTGACAAGCGTGTTTTCAGCAAATGTGTAGTCAATAAGCTACATGTATCTCCAACATTTTAAATATGCATCCAACAATGGCCTATATTGGAATCCATTTGTGATATATTTGACGTAAAGCGCTGAATAAAAAGATGTACATCTGATTTGTCAACATTAGCCCTACAGATACTGGAAACATACATGGACGCAGTTACTTGCTGAGGCAGGTCTTTTGGACATCCAGCATGTCGCACATGATGCGCAAATCAATTACGCAAACACGCTTTAATGCTCTCTTTATTGTCAGTTCTCCGTGGTAGTTCTAATCAATAGTGTGATTGTCATCCACATTGATGACATTCAAGGAAACCGTGATCAGCTAGAACATATATGCAGGAACCTTGGTCTATACTCACGTGGGAACAGAATGAGAGAGAGAGAGAGAGAGAGAGAGAGAGGAGAGAGAGAGAGAGAGAGAGAGAGAGAGAGAGAGA